GAGTATTGTTATACATGTTCAACAGATGAGAAAACCAAAGACTCAAAATTAGCTGAGAGCTGCTTTCACTACACTAACTCTCAGAGCAGCTAAGTAACTGTCATTTCCCTAGCTGAGAGTAGAGGAAATTTGAGGTCTAAAATGAATATGATGTCCAATATTTTTCACTGTGAGTCTATAAGAAAAACCTGAAAGCATTTTAAAGGATAAATCATCAACTCCAAACTCTTAATTTTATATATGGGGAAACTGAGGCCCAGCCAGAATACATGACTTATTTCAAATCACAAGGTTTTAACCAAAATGAGAATTCAGATCTCCATTCTCCCAGTCAGTAGGTTTTATACTAAACTGCATTTTCCAAGTGTGACCCATTGATTCCACAAGATATTAAAACAGACATCCCTCTAAAAAGGTTAGATAGACTAAGCTACCTCTGGGTTAAACCAAATTAAATACCGTTCTTTACTGTAGGATCTCTGAGCTTTCACTGGGCTAATGAGTCTTGTGAATCTGAGAGCTCTATATAATATATGATATTTTTCTCAATTTATTTGATCATAGAACCATTTTTTTCCAACAAGCATCTTGAAGTAACCATATTCTAATGAGCAGACTTTGAGGGAGACTGTTAGCCTTGTCTCCCTTCAAGGTTGTTCTGCTTTAATGATTGGGAACAGTTTGTTTTGCTACTAGAGGTAGAGCATCAACTCTCAAAACTAAAGGGAACTGGCTGGCCGGTTAGCTCAGTTGGTTAAAGCGTAGCCTTACAAGACCAAGGTCATGAATTCGGATCCCCGTACTGGCCAGCCACTCTCCCGCAAAAGAAAAAAAAACATGGGAAAATATTACCCTTAGCACCAAGAAGCATTAAACAAGCCATAAGGTTGTAAAGCACTGCCTCTTTGTTTTATTCCACTTTGTCCCTTAATATAACACACCTCAGTCCCATCCCTACAATAGGAAGAGACATTCTGATGTCCTTCTTGCTGGATTGCTACTTCATAATGAGCATTCCCATATGTGAGGCACTGGCTAAACACTTAACATGGATTATCTCACTTAATCCTTAAAATAATCCTATCAGGTAAGGACTCCTATTTTCCCCACTTCAAAGTTTAAAAATCTGAGATTTAGGTTAGGTAACATGTCCAAAATCATACAGTAAGCAAGTTTTAAACCTGAAGCTGATCCATGCCAGATTCTGCTGTATGACTGTGAGATGATGTTGCCACTGTAAATTATTTTCTTGTCCATTTATCAAAGTGTTTATTCCATTTATCAGAGAGAGAGAGAGAGATTTAAGGGATTGGTACACATGACTGTGGGGGCTGGCAAGTCTGAAGCCTGTAGGCAGGCTGGAAAATCCAGCAGAAGTCAGTGTTGCCGTCTTTAGTCCTAAGGCAGTCTGAAGGCAGAATTCCTTCCTCTTCTGGTGACCTCAGTCTCGTCCCTTAAAGCCTCCAGATGACTGGATGATGCCTACCGACATTAAGGAGGGTAATCTACTTTACTCAAATTCTACTGATTTCGATGTTTTTCATATGTAAAAAACACAGCAACATCTAGACTAATGTTTGACCAAACAACTGCGTACTAGCCAACTGGACACATACAATTAACCATCACACTATATAATATACAAAGTCATAGAAATATAGTTATCTTAGATCCTATAGTTCAATTTTCTTATTTTTTCAAATGAGGAAAGAGATGAGAGATATGTACCCAGGTTACACATATGCATTCACAGAAGTATGTGCACACCCAAACTCCCAGAAACTTTTATAAATCACTCACTACTTCCTAATAAAATTAAGTGGAAAAATTAAATCCTTCCAAAACACCATTTATTTGTATTTTGAAGAATTGGTTAGAAAAATTCAGCAAGAAGTCAGATTACCTTACTTCTCTCCAGACTACTGCTCCCCAACACCGGGATGCTGCAACTACCTTCAGAGTAGAGGGGCAGTCTGGAAATAGCTGTCACAGCTCTCCCCAAAAGCAGACTTTTCTCTCACATTCATACCTGCCTCTCCTGTCCCTGCTCCCTCTCCAGTTTCATCTCTCATTTCTCAGGCGTCCTTGTGCTAGAAGCTCCAGCTATGCTGTGTTTCATTCCACTGCTCCTCTTTTACCACTGAGCTTCTGTATTAGTCCATTTCTGTTACTTATAGCAAAATACCTAGAACTGGGTAATTTAGAAAGAGAACAAAATTTATTCATTACAGTGTCCAAGGCTGGAAAGTCCAAAGTTCAGGGAACACATCTGGTGAGGGTCTTTTTGGTTGTGGCTTTACAGCAAGGCAGGGGTCTTACATGGCAGAAAATGACGAGAAGCAGAGACTGTCATGTGCTGTCCTTTTAAAGCCCTCAGAACCACACCCACAACCACCATTAAGCCATCAACTTAATCACCTCTTCAAGGCCCCACCTTTCAGTTACCATAATAGGATTTCCCACCCTCTTAACACTGTCATAGCGGGGTCCAAGCCTCCAACACATTAAACTTTGGAGGGAAACAATTCAATCCACTGCAGTTTCCAAACAAGTTCTTCTCTTTGGGGTCTGAAACATTCTTTTGCTACCTCCCCACCCTCCACCCATATTTGCCTAGGTAATGCCTGTTCATTCTTCAAGTCTCAGCTTAGCCTCAAATCTCTTCCTCACGAAGTGCTTCCCCACCTCTAATAACTGGGTTGGACGTCCTACACATGTGCTCCTATGGCATGCTGTAGCCCCTGCTATGTATTACCTGTTTATTATCTCCATTCCTAACTAGTGTCTTGAGGGCAGAGACCATGTCTTGTTCCATGGTATCCTCAGCATCACAGTCTGTCACATAAAAGATATTCAATAAGTATTTTGGGGGGGAAGGAAGGAAGGAATAAAAGAAGGAATGAAGAAGAAAGGAACTTCTGCAGGCTCTTTCTTGCTCTGTGCAGCTCAGATTTGACAACTGGAAGAGAATCTGGGATGGTATTTGTCCAGAGAATTGTAGGATGGAGAGTAACTTTCGTCTTTTCAGGTGCTGGGAAATCTCTGCCTAATGACCTGGCATCCTCGGGATTTGCTTTGATGGGTATTAGGATGTTGATAACACCGAGGAGGAGTTATAGGTATAAGTTAAAACGAGACTGAGCCAGATAGAAACAGCAGGAATGGAGAGGGAGTGATAGGAGAGATATTCGTGGGTAAATTGCACTATATGTGTTTGGAATGTGAAGGAGAAGAGTGCAAAATCAGGAAGTCAGAAGAATCTAGTTTCTGGTACAAGACAATATCATCAATTCAATTCCATAGTCAATTAGAGGTGTTGGAAAACATCCAAAATTACAGTTGAAAATATAAAACACGGGCAAAAAAAAATCTATAGCCTGTCACAAATTTGTCATCATTATGTCAATTACTGTTACCAAAGAAGTGTCAAGACTGGCAATAGACAGAGCGGGTATTGTCCACATGGCGTGCTCAGAAAGAGTCATCAGAGACTCTTCTCCCTTACTACCTGGTGCCTGGGATTTTGAAATTAAAGTGATATTTGTTATATATTATCAAATACATGTATGCACATATATCCCTGGAAGGAAAGATAAATGGTAACAGGAGTTATATCTGGAAAAGGGGAGTTGGGAGCTTGGAGGTCAGAGTTAGGAGGAAGACCTGTCTTCTACCATTTTCCCTTTCGTACCCATTGACATCTTTGTCATGTACATAGATTTTTAACCTTCAAAAGGTAAAATTCCTTTTAGTTTTAAAAGTTGGAATTTGTGGACAGAGGATGGATTAAAAATAGTGCATTTGTTAAGTGGAATAATGTGCAGTAATTAAAATGAAAAAAGATAGCTCTAGATGTACTGATGCAAAAGCTGTTCATGATGATTTGTTAAACAGAAGCAAAATTCAGAGTGTAAATATTAAAAATGCACACATTTAAAAATAATTGTATTTAAATATTTATTAGCATATACATAAGGGGAAAAACTGCCAAAATATACAGTAAACTGTTAGCATTGATTACCGCTGCAAGATGGAATTTGAAGAGACTTTTGTTTTCTAATTTGACATTGAAGGAACTTCTATGAGGAGCATATTACTCTATAATTAGGAAAAAGATAACCTCGAGTCAAGGGTTCAGATCCCCGTACCGACCATCCATAAGAAGAAAAGGAAGGAAGGAAGGAAAGAAGGAAGGAAGGAAGGAAGGAAGGAAGGAAGGAAGGAAAACTTAAAACAGTTCTATGACATTACAAATAGTCCAAGAGTGGAGGGAGGGTCATTATCTTCATCAGCTGGGGCAAATATCAACTCCCCGCCCAGATGAAAACCAGATACACACTTGGAGTTTGTGCAGTAGGGCAAGGAGAAGTGGTGTAGTAAGATCTTGGCTCAAAATTGCACCTCAGAATGTTTAGTAATTGAGACTGGTACTATAGAATAGATGCAACTTGTCTTTTTCCCCAGTGCATGAAAGTCTAGGTACTTATCACCATGAGCTTAAAAAGCAGTATTTCTAAGTAATCTAAGGTAATCTAATGTCCCTGCTTTCCTCTCTTTTCTGCTCCTCAACAATACAATTTTTTTTCTTTTTCTTTTTCTTTTTTTGTCCTCTTTATCTTCCCAGCCCTTTTTAAAACGCTGCCACAAGAGGGCAGCAGCCTCATGCATAAAAAGGGCACTCAGACATTGGTAACTATAAAAAGCAAAAGGTGTTACTATATCTTTGTTATTAAAAAAGAAAGACAACAGAAAGAAGCAAAAGAATGATGCCATTATAAAAATGTTATTATGTTTTAACACCAAGGTCAAAAGTTTGGATCCCATATTGGAAAGCCGCCAAAAAAAAAAAAAAAAAAATGTCATCAAAACCTTACAGAGATTTTAGCATCTTGCTCTGATTGTATGCGGCCACATTTAATATTCTGTTAGAAATGATATACAATGGGTAGAAAAGAAAGTCAAGCTGGTGAGTAGGGCTAATGTGTTTTCCTCTCTTCCAGATGCTGGCCAAGAAGAGGTGATAGAAAAGAGAACAGTCTAGAACCTAAGACTTAGTCCTAGTGTAAATTTCTGCACCAGGATGGAAGGGGAATCTTACTTCAATGCAACCTCTGTCAATGACACCCCAGTAAATCACCAGCCTTTGGAACGCCATGGGTTGTGGGAGGTCATCACCATCGCAGCTGTGACTGCTGTGGTAAGCCTGATCACCACTGTCGGCAACGTCTTGGTCATGATCTCCTTCAAAGTCAACAGTCAGCTCAAGACAGTTAACAACTATTACCTGCTCAGCTTAGCCTGTGCAGATCTCATCATTGGGATTTTCTCCATGAACCTCTATACTACGTACATCCTCATGGGACGCTGGGCTCTTGGGAGCCTGGCTTGTGATCTCTGGCTTGCACTGGACTACGTGGCCAGCAATGCTTCTGTCATGAACCTTCTGGTGATCAGTTTTGACCGTTACTTTTCCATCACAAGACCTCTCACATATAGAGCCAAGCGAACCCCAAAGAGGGCTGGCATCATGATTGGCTTGGCCTGGCTGATCTCCTTCATCCTCTGGGCCCCAGCAATCCTCTGCTGGCAATACTTGGTCGGGAAGCGAACGGTTCCACCAGATGAGTGCCAGATCCAGTTCCTCTCTGAGCCCACCATTACTTTTGGCACTGCCATTGCTGCCTTCTACATCCCTGTTTCTGTTATGACCATCCTCTACTGCCGAATCTACCGGGAAACAGAGAAGCGAACCAAGGACCTGGCTGACCTCCAAGGCTCTGACTCTGTTACTGAAGCTGAGAAGAGAAAGCCTGCTCACAGTGCTCTGTTTAGATCCTGCTTTCGCTGCCCTCGACCCACCCTGACCCAGAGAGAAAGGAACCAGGCCTCCTGGTCATCCTCCCGCAGGAGCACCTCCACCACTGGGAAGCCATCCCAAGACCCTGGCCCAAGCGCCGACTGGGCCAAATCTGAGCAACTCACTTCCTGTAGCAGCTACCCCTCCTCAGAGGACGAGGACAAGCCCAGCACTGACCCTGTCTTCCAAGTGGTCTACAAGAGTCAGACCAAGGAAAGCCCAAGGGAAGAATTCAGTGCTGAAGAGACCAAGGAAACTTTTGTGAAAGCTCAAACTGAAACAAATGACTATGACACCCCAAAATACTTTCTGCCTCCAGCTGCTGCTCATAGATCCAAGAGTCAGAAATGTGTGGCCTATAAATTCCGAATGGTGGTAAAAGCAGACAGGACCCAGGAGACAAACAATGGCTGTCACAAGGTGAAAATCATGCCCTGCTCCTTCCCAGTGTCTAAGGACCCTTCAACAAAAGGCCTCGATCCCAACCTCAGCCATCAAATGACGAAACGAAAGAGAATGGTCCTAGTCAAAGAGCCCAGTCCTTTAGAGGGGCCTCTATTTTGATGATAAACATGATCAAGTCTCCACAGTTAGTTATTTTAGTTTTTACCAGTGGGAATTTTTTCCTTTTATTTATTTTTTATTGTTATTTTTTTGAGGCTGGTTGGTAGGGGGATCCAAATCCATGTCCTTGGTGTTGTACACCACACTCTCCCAAGAACTTTTTCCTTTTATCTAAATAAATATTGTGTATTCTATTTTGTGCCCATTTGAACCCATCTATTTGTGCTCTGTTCTTAGGAGGACTAGTTGTATAACAGCCTTTCACTGGGTAAAGGTCTTCAAATATTGTGTATTCTATTTTGTGCCCATTTGAACCCATTTATTTGTGCTCTGTTCTTAGGAGGACTAGTTGTATAACAGCCTTTCACTGGGTAAAGGTCTTCTCCAGGCTATTTAATCATGATTCTGACATTGTTTTCATAGGTCTTACTTTCTAATATCTTCACAAGGCAAACCCGAGGCAAAATGTGACAAATAACTTTGCTTTTGAACTTCCTGAGCCCTTTTGCAACCCTCAATTTCCCTCATCCAGATCCCCAGTTCACACCCAGGCACAAGCAGGTCACTGTGCTACCTCCAGGGAGAAGTGCTATTTGGGGAAAACAGGGAGATGGACTTTATTTCTTTACAGGTTCTTTAAATCAGGGCCCAGATATGACTTACTTATTCATTCCTCTTCAAATTCAGTCAAAGATGAGAAGCCGAGAAAAGCACAGTTGAAGAGGGTCCAGAGAAGCTAGCTATGATCCGAAAGCTTCATCTTTAAAAACAAAGTGTAGGTCATAGTAATGCATACAAAACAAAGTTATCAACATGCATTAGAAGCCAAATTTAATTGCAGTTTCTAAGTGCATATAGACAATCTTAGATGCTTCTTTGATAATTCTGAAAATAAAACAATGTGCAAGAAATTGAAACTATGAAAGAGTGTATAAACATGTTTAAAAGTCCACAAAGAAAGCAGTAGTGCTACACAAAAAGGATTTTAAAGATGGAGCACTCCTGTCAGACAGAAGCTCATTATTTAACCAGTTGATCATATCCGCAGTGGTATTTGAAAACCTCCAGACTTTACATCACTTAATGTAGGCCAACACTTCTCAGCTTTGTTTGCTAAGGGAGTGGAAAAATAGCAGGTTTAGTTGTCCTGGGAATTAGGTATGTACCTGAGTATCGGAGAGTTTCGATCTACCACTGAAGAGCATAATCAGCCTCTTGCGTGAAGCCCCAAGAAGGCTTCAGGGTAGTAGAATCTCAGGCAGGACAAAGCTGGTCCACCCAAACCTCTTCTCCAGCCGTATAGGAACTTGATATTGAGATGAAATATCTTGCAAGCAATGTAGCTGCTGAGGCTTTGTGAAGGGCAGGTTGACACCTGTCAAGAATTTGGTAGAGAATATTAATTATTTGGCTCAGTTCTTCGGGACAGGCTCCCAGGTCTACGTGATACCAACGGGGTGTGACTTCATGAGCAAACCTGCTCCACCACGTCCAGATAATTAGTTGATTCTTTTTATTTAAGGCTTTGATACCTGACAAAAGTGAAAAGCCTTCCATGAGAATAACATTTTTAGCCCATACTGGGCATTCACCATTCACAGTGGAGAGAGAGAAATAAGCTAATTCAAACAAAACTTAGAACTGAGGGCACACTTTGCATTTTGTTCATCTTTTGTGAAGAGGTCTATGCTTCCTTCTTTATCATCAGCTTTGGAAAGCAGCATTTTTGCAAACTACCTATGCCCTTTGATAGACAAAAAATACTCCAGACTACTAATGGAAACTATGCTTCTCTGGAATAGGGCCTCTAGTGGGGTCCTCAGAATGAACAGATCCAATTGTAAACTACAGGGACCTGGCGGGAGGGGGCAAGGGCTGACTTCAGATCTTAGGCAGCTGTCTTCCAAGCTCTATCTATGGTAAACTATGTACAACTTTGACTAGTTACCTATTGGATGTTGTCATGCTGCTAACATTGTGATTTGTTTCTCCTAGTCTGTGAATTTGATGGCTTGACAGGGAATCTTTGTTCTCTGTACAATTTTTGGTTAAAAAAGCATTTTGTCAATATTCCTGGCCTCTGCTTTGCTCCTTTGGTGAATGTTCTTTGAGGACAGTGCTGATGTTGGCTCTTTGCAATTGTGAAATCTGTACCTAAACCACTGGATGGGAATATACAGTTGTCTACTGTAAATACTGGAATTGCAAAAGATATGGGGACTGAGCTGCTTTTCTGTATTGTACTGGCATTATTCTAGATATTAAAGAAATTTAATCACACAGTAGTCTAATGCAGTATTTAAATTTAAAAAATGGTCTCAGGTTAGCTTGTTAGGTCTGTCCCTATTAGGGGTCCCACACACCAGTGTATGTCCTAGCCTTTTAAGAAGGGAGGGGTTGGTGCACAATATAGATATCGTCCATCTTGCTACCTTTTGTAATTCCCTCTTTCCTCTCAGTTACCAATGACCAAATTAAGATAAAACGATGATGAAAAGAAGTCTGTGACTAAAATGCTTCCCTTTCCCTCTAGGACGTGGGAGGTGGGGCAGACCTCAAACCCTAGCTCTTTATCAAATAGAGACTGTACCAAACAGAACAGCAGCATTTGCTCTTCAACTGTTTAAAGAGTTGGCACCCCAGTCATTGCATTCCCATTGTAAGTGATACTAATTTCCATTTCCCCCACATCATTTCACCAGTAAAATTCAAGATTATGCACACTCTTGTTCAATAAGGATCCCAGATTGAGAATTGGGGGGAGAAGGAAAATAAGTTTAAGAGTCAGGGAAGGAGCCAGAAACAAATTTTTATTTTTATTTTTTTTATTATTATTTTTATTATTTTTATTTTTTCCTTTTTGTCTTTTTTTACTGACCACCAATGGGATCGCAACTTATTTTTATTTTTATTTTTTTTATTATTTTTATTTTTTCCTTTTTGTCTTTTTTTACTGACCACCAATGGGATCGCAACCCTCGGTGTTGCGCCCGCACCGCACTCAGCCAGTGAGCGGGAACCGGTCTCCACATGGGATCTGAACCCTCGGCGGGAGCGCTCCCAAGCAGCGCACTCTCCAGTGCACCACCGGGCCGGCCCCAGAAACAAATTTTTTTTTTTGTCTTTTTCCGTGTCCGGCAACGGATCGCAACCCTCAGTGTCGCCCCCGTACCGGACCAGGACCAGCAACGGGATCGCAACACTCGGCGTTGCCCCCGCGCCTCGCTCAGCCAGTGAGCGGGAACTGGTCTGCATGTGGGATCCAAACCCTCAGCGGGAGCGCCGCCGCACTTCCCAAGCAGCGCACTACAGCAGTGCGCCACCGGGAGAAACAAATTTTTTAAAAAGCAAAATTTTTTTAAATAATTTTTTTTTGGAGGGGGGGCTGGCCGGTATGGAGATCTGAACCCTGGAACTTGGTATTGAAATAATTTTTAAACTTACAGAAAAGCTGCAAGAATAGCACAAAGAACTCCTATATCCTTCCCCCACATTCAGCACTTGTTAACATTTTGCCACATTTTTGCACATTCTCTGTACGTATGTGGGTATGTGAACACACCCACAGACATTATTTTCTCAACCATTTGGGAGTAAGTTGTAAACATCAGGTCCATTTACCTCTAAATACTCCAGTGTGTTTTCCTTAAGAACAAGGAAATTATTTTACATACACAATACAAAATTTAAAAATCAGGATTTTTTTTTTTTTTTTTTTTTTTTTTTTTAAAGATAACCGGTAAGGGGATCTTAACCCTTGACTTGGTGTTGTCAGCACCACGCTCAGCCAGTGAGCGAACTGGCCATCCCTATGTGGGATCCGAACCCGGGGCCTTGGTGTTATTAGCACCACACTCTACCGAGTGAGCCACGGGCCGGCCCAAAAATCAGGAATTTTGATGTTGCTACAATATTATTATGTTCAGACTCAAATTCTACCAGTTGTCCAAATGATGTTCATTATAAGAATTTCTTTTCCAGTTCACAGTCTAATCTAGGATCACACATTGCATTTAGTTGTCATGTCACGTTTGACTACTTTAACCTGGAAAAGGTCCTCAGCTTTTGTCTTTCATGACATGGTCATTTTTTTCTTAATTTTTTTTTTCTTATTGTACATGTTTGTGGGGTATGGTTTGTTGTTTCAATACATGCACATATTGAATAATGATCTAATCTGAATAGTTAGCATATCTATCACACATTTATCATTTCTCTATGGTTGTAACATTCAAGATCCCCTTTTCCGGCTATCTCGAAATATACAATGCAATATTATTAGCTATCATCACTCTAGAGCACCAGAACTTATTCTTCTAACTATAACTTTGTAACTTTATATCAGTCTACCAACCTTTCCCTGGCCACCCCTCCTCCTTCCCTTTCTCTGCCTCTAGTAACCATATAGACAATTATCATGGGTCAATTAAGAAAAATAAATTAAAAAGGGGGGGAAAAGAGAGAAATAGAGACATGGTCATTTTTTGAGAGTACTACAATCCAATTTTTTAAAATAATTTCCATTAGTTAAGGGTTGTCTGATGTTTCCTCATTAGATTCAGTTTAATTTCTTTGAGTTGATTTTACTTTGTTTTGGACAGTAATGTCACAAATGTGATATTGTATCCTCAGTGTGTCACATCAGGAGGCACTTGATGTTTTGTCCCATTCATTAATGGTGATGCTAACACTGATCAGCTTTTTAAGTAGACCAACTGTTTGAGTGCAAAGATTTGTTTGCAAATATTTTGTCTTAGATTGAGGGGATATAGTCAAATTACTACGTTCAATAATAGCTTCTGTTAATTCTTTTTTTTTCATTCAGTGTGGTTATGTTGTTCATTTGAAATTAGTTGGGTTTGTTTCTGTTTATATTGAATTTTAGAGCTTTCCTCCATAATTGTTAATTTAATTTCATTTTTTATAAGTAAAATATTAATATGGTTGTAAAAGTCAAAACTATACAAAAAGATACACTCAGAGAAGGGTCAGTTCATCCT